AATTTACCTTGCATCCATCCATCATTTTTACAGAATTCACTTTTTTTTTTAATTTACCTTGCATCCATCCATCATTTTTACAGAATTCACTTTTTTTTTTACCTTGCAAGTTCTTCCTCATTTTACTGATAACATAACATCCAAATATTGTACTATAGATGTTATAAAGTATGCAATGGTAGCTACACAGGGTAGCATGTTTGTTGTTGTTTATTAGAAAGCTAGAATAAGAAATAAGCCAGAGCAGAGGTAAAATGCAACGAATAAGACTTTATGTGTGGAGTTGTTAACTGGTTGTGGATGAGGAGTGTCTTCGGCTGCTTTTTGAATATTGAGACATTCTGTTGCTTTGACAAACCAGCCAACCTAACGTATCTCAGAGCAACATCAGTTCAGAAATAGTCAGTGTTCAGTGGTAGCACTCAGCGGCAATGTGAGATCTGCAAATTTAGGTAAAAATGTGTCGGGTATATGCGAGGGGAACCTTCAGCTGAAGTTTTTGCCTGGAGCTTTTACTCTAAATTAGAAGTTGTTTTGTGTACTGTAATGACTTTTGAAGGTATAAAAAATGTTATGTAGGTTTATTCATTTGTATCCTGCTAATGTTCAGTTAAGCTTCTGAAGTATCACTGTAGCTTTCGATGTGAGGATCATATCAAGACTTTGCATAAAGGAAAATTACAGTTATTTTAGCTAAATGATTTTTATGATTATCTGTCCAGATCTTAAAGGAAAAGTTCACTTATCAAAATCAGTCATCAATTACAATATTCAATAGTATTTTGAAACTTGTATAACTTTTCTGAGGAAAACAAAGGACATGTTAGGCAGAATGTCCAAGATACAATACAATAAAAAAAGATTTTCAGTGAATTACGACTTAAAGGAATAGTTCATCCAACACTTAGAGCTTTTTTAGTTCAATTAATTTTTTTAGTTCATCCAAAACATTTTGTCATCATTTATTCACCTTCATGTCATTCCAAACCTATAAGTTTCT